CAGGGGCTGGCTCCCTGCCCCACGCAGCCCATGTGGCCCCCGGGGAGGGGTGGCCCCTCCCGGTGGACCCCTGGAACCCTTCCCGTGGCCCCGGTACAATACCGGTATGACCCCGAAACTTCCCGGTGTCTGTTTGACAACTTCCCATATATAAATCTTTACCTCCGGATCCTTCCGGATCTCCTCGTGACGTCCAGGATCCCATCCGGGACTCCGAACAACATTCGATAGTCACATACTAGTCTTCCTAATAACCCTAGTGTCACCGAACCTTAAGTGTGTAGACCCTACGGGTTCGGGAGACATGCAGACATGACCGAGACGCTCTCAGTCAATAACCAACAGCGGGATCTGGATACCCATGATGGCTCCCACATGCTCCTCGATGTTGTCATCGGATGAACCACGATGTCGAGGATTCAATCAAACCCTGTATGCAATCCCCTTTGTCAATCGGTACGTTACTTGCCCGAGACTCGATCGTCGGTATCCCAATACCTTGTTCAGTCTCGTTACCGGCAAGTCACTTTACTCGTACCGTAATGCATGATCCCTTTCCAACACCTTGGTCACATTGAGCTCATTATGATGATGCATTACCGAGTGGGCCCAGAGATACCTCTCCGTCATACGGAGTGACAAATCCCAGTCTCGATCCGTGTCAACCCAACAGCTACTTTCGGAGATACCTGTAATGCACCTTTATAGTCACCCAGTTACGTTGTGACGTTTGATACACCCAAGGCACTCTTACGGTATCCGGGAGTTACACGATCTCATGGTCGAAGGAAGAGATACTTGACACTGGCAAAGCTCTAGCAAAACGAACTACACGATCTTTTATGCTATGCTTAGGATTGGGTCTTGTCCATCACATCATTCTCCTAATGATGTGATCCCGTTATCAATGACATCCAATGTCCATAGTCAGGAAACCATGACTATCTGTTGATCACAACGAGCTGGTCAACTAGAGGCTCACGAGGGACATATTGTGGTCTAAGTATTCACACGTGTATTACGATTTCCGGATAATACAGTTATAGCATGAATAAAAGACATTTATCATGAACATTGAAATATAATAATACTTTTATTATTGCCTCTAGGGCATATTTCCAACAATCAGGCCCTTATGTGTCCACTTAACCAAGTCTGGCACAAACTCAATGTCCAGAATACTCACCAGCAGTCTGGCCACCCCGTTAGCTTGGGTAAAGGCCATATCCACCCTCTCAGTTTTTCCAACCAGTGTCCCCAAACTAGCAGCGACTCGAACATCATTCAGCAGCTTCGAAGGAGCCCCCGAGAATTGTAACCAAACCTGAGTAAGAGGCTTGCCCGTTGGCTCAACCTTCTTCCACTCATGGAACTCCAGGATGCACTCGGTGCCAGGCACTCTGCACAACCCAAAGCTCAGAAGTCGCTGCAAGTCCTCAGATGTAGGGAAGTCAACCTTATATATGTTGGCCTCAAGTCTGATAAGCTCCCACTGAAAGTTACCTGGAGCTAACTCATTAAGCCACTGCAGAATCTGAGCCTCAGACAAATCACCCTTAGTGACTTTGACAACCCCCGTGGTCATGCTCTGAGGCGCCTCTAGGATCTCCATCTCACTAGGAGACTCAAAGAACATCAACTCGGCACAGCAAACTCCGTAGATGGTAAAACTCGGCATTGGTGCACTCAATATCGGGCACTCCCCCATAGCATGTGCTGGTTTGAGGCAAGTGTCACATAACTCAGTAACACACTCGGCAATAAAATGACCCTTGTCACCACAACGATAGCAAATCAACTTCTCCTTTTTGCGAGCCCATTTGGAAGCTCTATCACTCTCTGACTTGTCAGTTGTAATGACAGAGCCCATCGCCATGGGTTCAGTCGGAGGCACCTCAGCATGAGCCAAAGCTGTCACCGCGTCCATTACCTGACCGGACAACTCTGACGTCTGCCCGGAAACAACCACCTCCGAGGAGCCCGACGGCTCAACAACAGCGGGCGGTGGAGGCTGACGGTAGTGGTTTCTGCCACCACGACCACCACGAAAACCTCGGTAACCACCTCTCTGCCGGTAATCTAGGCCAGATGCCCCCTCAACAAAACCACCAGGAGGGCCGTAAAAAGGCCGGTCAGTCGTTCCATCACTCTGCCATGCATATCCATGCCTGCCGCCCGCCGCCGACGAGCCCCGATGCTGCCCATCACCATACGCGTCATAACCATCATCACCCCATTGTCCTTGCGGCGGTCCACGGCCACCACGGTTTGCCGGGAAGCGAGGTTGTCCCGCGCCACCAGAACCCACATGCGCCGGCGGTCTAGTCCGAGACGCGGGAAGCGTCCCCGCACTCTGAGTCGGTGGTGCGTTCGTCGTTTGCGCAGACCCCACCCTTTTCTGCGGTGGCTGCGCAACGACGTGCAGCAGCGGCGCTGCCCGAGGCTGGTGCACGCTTGCTTGCGGCTGCTGCCGAGGCTCCGCCACAGCGGTCCCGGGCATCGGCGGCCTAGTCCCCTGCGCTCCCACGCCTCGACCCGCGGAGGCTAACACAGGCAGCAGAACAACCAACCCAGGCGCCGGCGACCGAAGCCCCCGTGAACCACCGCCGCGACCCGCAGCGGTCGGCACGGGCACTGGAGGCCGCGATCCCGGCGGACCACTACCTCCACGCCCAGCCATGGCCACTATGGGAGGAATCCGAGCGACGCGACCCTGTCCACACGCAGGGAAGCCCGGCACCGCGCAACGACGTGAAACCCTAGGGGGTGGCGGCGATGAGCAACGAGAACGATGATCGAGCAGCTGGATGCATGGGTCATCGTAAACATTAGAGATGGATTCCGGTTTAGCCTTGGCCTCATACCCAACTAACCCCGGCCCACTCGGTTACAGCAAGTTTTGGGCCCAATGCCCATCAGCAGTCCGGCCCACTGGCGCCGTAACCACATCCAGCCCATCGTGGCCGATCAAAAAATTCAAACGCTGGATCCACGCCTCGCGGATCTCAGCCGACCGTCCGGCCGCCGGCGCCGGCACCACCTTCGCCGCAGGCCGCCTCTTCTTCTTTCTCTGAACCAGTGTCCAAGCTCCCGCCTCGAAATAATCTGAAAGTGTAGGTTTCAGGAGACTCACCTTAGGTAACGGACCGCGCCAAGGACGAATCGCCGTTGCCGCCGTACGCCGATGGACGACTCGCCGGACGATCTCGACCTTATCCTCCTCCTGCAGGCCCAACCTCGCCGGATCATCTCAAGGGATCGACAAGTCCACGAGCAACGCCACCTCGTCTTCGTGGTACCCAACTCTGAACGCCTCGCAGATCGCGTCTGACGGCGTTGGAGATCCCGCCGGCGGCTCCTCGCCGTCCGAGTCACCGTTGTCGTCTTCCGCGTCCCCGGCGCCGTCCAACAGCGCCCAGAACCGGCCCTCAACCCGCCGTTCCCGTCGGCAGAGGTCGCCCTCGGAGGTGCCCCGCGAGTCGCCCCGCTAGTCGCTATAGCTGGTTGGTGTGGGGTGGGGTGGGGTTGTACCGAAGCGGGGCTGTTCAAGTATATGTCTATTTCACGGCAGGGCAATCATCCCAAGTTCCCAACCAACCAAAGGTGGTTGTCAAATAGCATCGGATACGATATAACGTGCATATGAAATCTCTCATGATTGACCTTGATTTATGTAGTTACGAGTTGCTTGATCCAAGTCGTACGTATACGGTATACCTACGGAATTATTCGGTGAGTCAGGACTTGGTAATCGTTAGCCCGGCCGGTTTTTGCGCTTGAGCATGTGCTATACCTGTACGCACCTAACTGAGAAACATAGGCATAGCGTGTCGTGCATAAAGAATTGCGTGAACCGCGACGGTTCCGGATGGTACTACCAGGTACGGCCCTGAAATCATGCATGGCAACTTATTCTACAGCACGGAGCATGTTCTGTGCTCGATCGTCGGCACATAAAATGTCAACCGTCGAGTGTCAGCCTGCTTGCACTGCACTTTTTTTTCCCAATCACACTTGCATTGTACTGCTACTATTGCTACACTACGCAAGAATGTGACACACTTTGGCATGGAAGCTCACCGTGTAGCACGCTTTGACTTTAGGCGCAAATTGCATTGAACCGTGTAATCGAAAAAACGGAGTGGATTGATCGATATTTAGAAAGTTAGCTAGAGTAAAATACCAGTCTTCTGTAGCAGTAGACGTAGTAATCAGCCGTAACTTTTGTTGCTGGTTTTGTTGTACTATTACGATGCAGCGTTTTTCTTACTATCAACATCCATATATGAAAATATTCTCATTTTGACGGAAAACAATAATCCTCAGAGTATCAGAGTATCAGAGTATTCGTGATTTTCAACGATCAAATATTCGAAAAGTGAACTTGGTTCGGCTTGGCAGAACAGCACGTCATTTTGCGGTGATCAAACTACTGGAGTAACTCCACCGTTGGCGCTGAAAACTCACAGGACAGGGCGGGCAAGCTATATATGACATGCTCATCACCTCACAGGTGACTTCGTCCGCTCATAAGCAGCCGGGAGAAGGCACATGCCACATGAACACCGGTTATCCGGAATCTTATATATAATAGGCAGCACAAAATTTTGCTCTGCGATACATTAGCGTTCGATCCAATCCAATCATGAACTCAACGTGCAGCTGCGCCAAAAGTCAAGAGCAGCCTACCATGCACGCAGCCGAGATACTCGCTTCTCAAAGAAAACACCGACGCGCGAAGCACGCTCGCTTTCACACTGCAAATATCCCCTTGCAACATGAAATGTCAATACGCCTCTCGTGGCCCCGTCAGCCGGTCGGTAGCGACCGAATGATGAATACTGTAGCGTAGTTGCAACTCCAGTTGCTTGCACCAAGGGCAGTATATATATAGGCGTGCCGACACATGCTTCTGCACAACAGTTAAGCCAGAGACATTGCAAGCAGGGTACGATCTTGCATCAGTACCATCTTGCTCGGCCGGATCGAACGCCGACGACATGGCGGTCATCAAGATGCTCGTGCTCCCGGCGCTGTGCGCATTGCTGCTCAGAGCAGCGTCGGCGGCTCAATGGACGCCCGCCCACGCGACGTTCTACGGCGGCGGCGACGCGTCCGGCACCATGGGTGAGTCGATTCGGCTCGTCGCTCGGCATCTTTTCCGCCAAATTTTCTAGTTAGCTCCATGGCTTATGCTGACATGCGCCCATGCACGGATCTCATCTCATCAGGCGGCGCCTGCGGGTACGGCAACCTGTACGGCGCGGGGTACGGCACGCGGACGACGGCGCTGAGCACCGCCCTGTTCAACAACGGCGCGTCGTGCGGGGCGTGCTTCACGATCGCGTGCGACACGCGCAAGTCGCGGATGTGCAAGCCGGGGGCCTCCATCACCGTCACGGCCACCAACTTCTGCCCGCCCAACTACGCGCTCGCCGGCGGCGACAACGGCGGCTGGTGCAACCCGCCGCGGCAGCACTTCGACATGGCCCAGCCGGCGTGGGAGACCATCGCCGTCTACAAGGCCGGCATCGTCCCCGTCAACTACAGGAGGGTGCGCTGCCAGCGGAGCGGCGGGATCAGGTTCACCATCAACGGCCACAGCTACTTCGAGCTGGTGCTGGTGACCAACGTGGGCGGCAGCGGCGGCGTGGCGCAGATGTGGATCAAGGGCTCCCGCACCAACTGGATGGAGATGAGCCGGAACTGGGGCGCAAACTGGCAGAGCAACGCCAACCTCGACGGCCAGAGCCTCTCGTTCCGCGTCAAATCCGACGACGGCCGCGTCGTCACGGCCAACGACGTCGCGCCGCCCGGGTGGTGGTTCGGCGGCACGTACACGTCCGGGGCTCAGTTGTACTGACCCGATCCGTGTGCATATCCATGCTGCATGAAACCAAATTTAAACGGTATTCGTGTAATCACCTGCAGCTTATCGGTGGCCAAATTAACCAGACGATCGATCGAGAAGACCACGCCGCCTGCACTGCACGAATGATGTTTCTGTACGTATACTGAACAGTATGTTTCTGGGTTGTGTGTTGTTCCATTGATCAGTGTATTTGGCTACCGGCTGGATATTCACGCATGTTCAGCCGCAGGAATGTGCTTTTTTTTACAAAGTATATATGTTTCTGTCTATATATAAGCTTACTGCATTGTGAGTATCAAAAGCATACTGTTTTCTCTCTCTGGCTCTCTAGAATCATGCAAAAAATAAATAAGAAATGGTTTTGCTGAATCAAACTTGTCTAGATATTTTCCAGTGTGAAAGTTGACATTGGCCCACGTGTCAGCCCTCTATTGGCGAGCATCGTCCACAAACCTGGTTTCTTCTTCTTCTTCTTCTTCTTTTTTTTTTGCGGAAAGAGCCTGGTTTCTTTACTAACACGGGAAGGTGAATGCCCATTAAGATTAAAATCCCGGCCCACAATTCAGGCGAGCTAAAACCCACGACCCTACGATAAATCGTAGCGACTATTTGTGGCATTAAGCGACGCTCCAGCTTTCGATCGCGCACAAACAAACGCAGCGCACTAGCCACTGCGCCACGCCAAAGGTTCGTGATAGTGGCTAGGACACGACCCACTTGAAGCACAACGCGCCGGTTTTCTCCTGTCTTTTTTCGTTTTTTTCTTCTTTGTTTTTTTTTTTCATTTCTTTGCTTTTGTTTCTTCATTTTCTTGTTCTTCGTTTTTCTTCATCTTTTCATTATCCGAACGCTTATTCGACACTTTTCAAATACTTGTTTTACATTTTAACACTTGTTCAACACTTTTCAAATACTCGTTCAACATTTTTTGTTTTTTGTTTTTCTCTTGTTTCATTTGGTTTTCTTCTCTTTTTTTTGCACTCTTTCTTCTTTCTTCTCAGATCAAAATTGTTTATTTCTTGTTCATTTCCTTTTTTCTCCATTTTTTGTTTGGTTTTATTTTTTTCTTCTTCATTTTTTGTTTTTCATGTGTGTTTTCTTATGTTTTTTCACTCTACATTTTCATACATGTCAAAAAAAAAACTGTAACAAGCTATCACCATTTTTTGTATACACATTTAACATTGTCCGAACGCTTTTTCAACATCTTTCAAATACGTGTTCAACATTTTAATACTTATTCATCATTTTTTTAAATACTTGTTCAACATTTTTAATACTTATTCAACATTTTTAAATACTCATTCAACATTTTTAATACCTATTCAACATTTTTTAAATAATTGTTCAATATTTTTAATACTTATTCAACATTTTCAAATAGTTGTTGAACATTTTTCAAATTCTTGTTCAACATTTTTGTAATACTTGTTCAACATTTTTCATATACTCGTTCAATAATTTTTAATACCTATTCAACATTTTTCAAATACTTGTTTGACATTTTTAATATTTATTCAATAGTTTTCAAATACTTGTTCAACCGTTTTCGAATTATTTTTCAATTTTTTAAATACTTATTCAACATTTTTTCAAATGTGTTTTTGAAGAGTGTTTTTTTGTAATATATATATGGAGAGAGAGAGAATATATTAAAGTATAAAAAAAGTATGAAAATTACAAAAAATGAGAACAAAAAATAGAAAGAAAAAAAATAGGTTGTGGCTCTTGCACCGCTAGACCTGCTGTCTGCGGCCTAGTCGGGCGATTCCTGAAGGAAATATGCCCTAGAGGCAATAATAAAATTATTATTTATTTCCTTATATCATGATAAATATTTATTATTCATGCTAGAATTGTATTAACCGGAAACATAATACATGTGTGAATACATAGATAAACAGAGTGTCACTAGTATGCCTCTACTTGACTAGCTCGTTGATCGAAGATGGTTATGTTTCCTAACCATAGACATGAGTTGTCATTTGATTAACGGGGTCACATCATTAGGAGAATGATGTGATTGACTTAACCCATTCAATTAGCTTAGCAATTGATCGTTTAGTTTGTTGATATTGCTTTCTTCATAACTTATACATGTTCCTATGACTATGAGATTATGCAACTCCTGTTTACCGGAGGAACACTTTGTGTGCTACCAAACGTCATAACGTAACTGTGTGATTATAAAGGTGCTCTACAGGTGTCTCCAAAGGTACTTGTTGGGTTGGCGTATTTTGATATTAGGATTTGTCACTTCGATTGTCGGAGAGGTATCTTTGGGCCCTCTCGGTAATGCATATCACTTAAGCCTTGCAAGCATTGCAACTAAATGAGTTAGTTGCGGAATGATGTATTACGGAACGAGTAAAGAGACTTGCCGGTAACGAGATTGAACTAGGTATTAGATACCGACGATCGAATCTCGGGCAAGTAACATACCGATGACAAAGGGAACAACGTATGTTGTTATGCGGTCTGACCGATAAAGATCTTCATAGAATATATGGGAGCCAATATGAGCATCCAGGTTCCGCTATTGGTTATTGACCGGAGACATGTCTCGGTCATGTCTACATAGTTCTCGAACCCGTAGGGTCCGCACGCTTAACGTTTCGATGCCGGTTATATTATGAGTTTATGAGTTTTGATGTACCGAAGGTTGTTCGGAGTCCCGGATATGATCACGGACATGACGAGGAGTCTCAAAATGGTCGAGACATGAAGATTGATATATTGGATGACTATATTCGGACACCGGAATGGTTCCGGGGGTTATCGGATATATACCGGAGTACTGGGGGGGGGGGTACCGGAACCCCCCGGGGGTTATTGGGCCTCATGGGCCCAAAGTAGTGGAAGAGGAGAGGCAGCAGGAGGTGGCGCGCAGCCCCCCTTGCCCCAATCCGAATTGGAAAAGGGATGGGGGCGCGGCCCCCCTTCTCCTTCCTTCTCTCCACCTCCTCCTTCCCCCTTCTCCTAGTTGGAATAGGAAAGGGGGCAAAACCTACTTGGAGTAGGATTGCCCCCCCTTGGGCGCGCCTCCTCCTCTTGGCCGGCCCCCTCCTCCTCTACTCCTTTATATACGTGGCCAGGGGGCACCCCATAGACACAACAATTGATCTCTTGATCTCTTAGCCGTGTGCGGTGCCCCCTTCCACCATAATCCACCTCGATCATATCGCAGCGGTGCTTAGGCGATGCCCTACGACGGTAGAACATCATCATTGTTACCACGCCATCGTGCTGACGGAACTCTCCCATGAAGCTCTACTAGATTGGAGTTTGCGGGACGTCATCGAGCTGAACGTGTGTTGAACTCGGAGGTCCCGTGCGTTCGGTACTTGGATCGGTCGGATCGTGAAGACGTACGAATACATCAACCGCGTTGTGCTAAACGCTTCTGCTTTTGGTCTACGAGGGTACTTAGACAACACTCTCCCCTCTCGTTGCTATGCATCACCATGATCTTGCGTGTGCGTAGGATTTTTTTGAAATTACTACGTTTCCCAATAGTGGCATCCGAGCCAGGTTTTATGTGTTGATGTTATATGCATGAGTAGAACACAAGTGAGTTGTGGGCGATATAAGTCATACTGCTTACCAGCATGTCATACTTTGATTCGACGGTATTGTTGGATGAAGCGGCCTGAACCGACATTACGCGTACGCTTCCGCGAGACTGGTTCTACCAACGTGCTTTGCACACAGGTGGCTGGCGGGTGTCAGTTTCTCCAACTTTAGTTGAACCAAGTGTGGCTACGCCCGGTCCTTGCGAAGGTTAAAACAACATCAACTTGACAAACTATCGTTATGGTTTTGATGCGTAGGTAAGAACGGTTCTTGCTCAGCCCGTAGCAGCCACGTAAAACTTGCAACAAACAAAGTAGAGGACATCTAACTTGTTTTTGCAGGGCATGTTGTGATGTGATATGGTCAAGACATGATGCTAAATTTTATTGTATGAGATGATCATGTTTTGTAACCGAGTTATCGACAACTGGCAGGAGCCATATGGTTGTCGCTTTGTTGTATGCAATGCAATCGCCGTGTAATGCTTTACTTTATCACTAAGAGGTAGCGATAGTCGTGGAAGCATAAGATTGGCGAGACGACAACGATGCTACGATGGAGATCAATGTGTCGCACCGGTGACGATGGTGATCATGAAGATGCTTCGGAGATGGAGATCACAAGAACAAAATGATGATGGCCATATCATATCACTTATATTGATTGCATGTGATGCTTATCTTTTATGCATCTTATCTTGCTTTGATTGACGGTAGCATTATAAGATGATCTCTCACTAAATTTGAAGATAAAAGTGTTCTCCCTGAGTATGCACCTTGCCAAAGTTCATCGTGCCCAGACACCACGTGATGATCGGGTGTGATAAGCTCTACGTCCATCTACAACGGGTGCAAGCCAGTTTTTGCACACGCAGAATACTCAGGGTAAACATGACGAGCCTAGCATATGCAGATATGGCCTCAGAACACTGAGACCGAAAGGTCGAGCGTGAATCATATAGTAGATATGATCAACATATTGATGTTCAGCATTGAAAGCTACTCCATTTCACGTGATGATCGGTTATGGTTTAGTTGATTTGGATCACGTGATCACTTAGAAGATTAGAGGGATGTCTTTCTAAGTGGGAGTTCTTAAGTAATATGATTAATTGAACTTAAATTTATCATGAACTTAGTACTTGATAGTATTTTGCTTGTCTATGTTTGATTGTAGATAGATGGCCTGTGTTGTTGTTCCGTTGAATTTTAATGTGTTCCTTGAGAAAGCAAAGTTGAAAGATGATGGTAGCGATTACACGGACTGGGTCCGTAACTTGAGGATTATCCTCATTACTGCACAGAAGAATTACGTCCTGCAAGCACCGCTGGGTGACAGGCCTGCTGCAGGAGCAACACCAGATGTTATGAATATCTGGCAAAGCAAAGCTGATGACTACTCAACAGTTCAGTGTGCCATGCTTTACGACTTAGAATCGGGACTTCAACGACGTTTTGAACGTCATGGAGCATATGAGATGTTCCAGGAGTTGAAGTTAATATTTCAAGCAAATGCCCGAATTGAGAGATATGAAGTCTCCAATAAGTTCTATA